ATTTTGAGCAGAAAGTATTTGATAAATTTTCTAATAATACTGGATTTTTAAGAAAACCACATCTTTATAATTTGCTTTATTTAGCATGAAAATTGCATAATAGACATGATTTTAGCGATAAATATAAACCATTCAACTTAAATTTTTAAATAATAAAAGATTTATATAATAAATTATTAGGATATTGCTATAATTATATTAGCTATTTCAAATACATTGGGATTATGAATTGAAAAAAGCTAAACAATATTTTAATTGATATTTAGCATATATTAATTTTGCTCATTGATTTATTAAAGATATAGAAAAAAACTATCATAATCCTTCAAAATCATATATTAATGATTGAAAGCTTTTTTAATCTTAACTTTATAATTCAAAACTAAATATTCAAATTAAATATATAATTAACTTTGTTGAACATTTTTATGAATTATTAATGTAGTTTATAATTGAACAAAATATAGTTTTATGAATTTATCAAAAGGAATAATTAGTAAATTTACCTTCTGATTCATATGTTTATGAAATGCCTAATAAGGTTATAAATAATATAAATTTCTTCAAAATCTTGTTAAAAACTTTGAAATAATTTTTGCTGATAAGTTATTAGAAGCAATAGATTCTTTATTTAGTGAAGAATTTGGATGATTTAGAGAAAAAATCACTAAAACTTTAGAACATTTTGAAAAATGGCTATTATCTTGACTTTATTTATCATTAGTTATTTATCATCTTACTAATAATAATGCTAAACCTTTTACTTCTAGCTTTTATTATGTAATTTTAAAAAAACTATGAATTAAATCATCAACTGCTTTAGAATTATGCTTTGTAAAAGAATTAAAAAATGATTTAAAAAATAAAATAATGAATAGCTTTGGTTTATAGGAATTACTATTACAAAATAATGATTTTCTTAAGAAATTTGAATAATTCTATAATAATGATAGATTGTCTTTCTAATGTATATGAATTTGTTAAAACTTAGATCTATTTTATTATTATTTACCAATAACATGTAGGTGGTCTTTTTAATAAAATAGATCTCATAATTTTGTAGTAATTAATTATTATATTTTTAATATTACATATGTAAAATAAGTTTATTAAAAATAAGATATATATTGTTATCCAATTATTAATTAAGTAGACTAAAATACATAATCAATTGAATAACAGCAAGATTTAGCTCAATCTTTATAATAATTTAGAAGAGACTTTAATTATATTAGACTTTTGTTGAACTTCGTGTTTTTTCATGACTTAGTTTTAGAATTGGCAAGTATGAAAACTTTCAATTCATCATATAGGACTTGTAATTTTCTCTATTGTAGGAAATACTCAGATAACGTTACAAAGAATATTTATAACCAAGTTATTGATACACAGTTAATTGTTTTTTAATAATAATACCTAGACTCATTGATGATTCTAATATAGTTATTAGCATAAACAAGTAGATAATATTTAAGTAATTAAGATTACTTAAACTTAGATGACACAAAGCAGAATTGTTAATGTTGTATTTATGATTACTTAACCAAGGTTGACATAAAGTAAGTTGATAATATTAAGTAATTTTATTATTATTTAACCAAGGTTGATACAAAATAATTTGCTTTGTATAAGATATTTAGTAAAGAGTTTTATTAACTTAAAACTAATTTCTTAAGTTTCTAAGTTTACTCTTTAAATTATTTATGATATATGATGAAAAATTCAGCTTATTTATAATAAAATTTCTACACTAAATTGCTATCTATTGCATAAAAGTTATATAATGATTCTTTTACCTTTCTATGTAATTTTGCTATAATAATTAAGCAATGACTACCTAATTATTATGCAATGGTCCTATAATTATAATATATATATATTTGAAGAGATGTAGAGAATATAATTATATTGTTCTTAAATTATTACTACATTTTTATACTTAGCCTTTAACTAGTTTTTTCTTGAAATTTCTTTTGAAGTTTTTAGTTTAGAAGGTTATATGTGTCATTATAGGTTAATGATTTATTACTTTATTTCTTCATTAACTGATTTGATTAATTCTGCAGATCACTTATACAGATCATTATGTCATTAATTTTGTAGATCAATCTACATGTTAATCACTTTAATTACTTTACTATGCTACATTTTCCAATTCTTAAAGATTACTTAGATTATAGTATAAGAATAATAAAAAGATTACTAAACACATTAGTACTAAGCTAGAGGAAATCTAATTTTCTATTATTCTAATATTTACAAATTATCTTATTTATATAAAATAATTTACATAGAAAGATAAAACTAATATATTATATATGTCTAATAAATCAAATATATCTAATATATTTATTATATTTAATATATCAGTTATGTTAAATATATTTGCTATGTCTGAAATATCAGAAATGTTAAAAACGTTAGCTATATTAGATATATTAAATGTATAAGTTAAGTAATATTTGTTTAACATTTCTAACATTACATATATAAATCATTTGTAGATTATCTAGTAGATCAATTCTATAGATCATTTTGATAAATCAATTTTATAAAATATGTTGATTATTTGCTGTGTCACATTTTCTTGCTATAATAATCCTATAACAGTACATTAATTGACATTATGTAATTAAAAAATAAAATTATGATATTGTTACAAAAAAGTCTTTATTATTAAATTTTTATATGATATCACATATAGATTTGATTAATATAAGTGATTGCATACCCAAATGGAATAGGATGTTTGAATATTAATAGCCAGACATGTGACATGTTAATCATAGCAAATGACATTGATATAGATATTAATCATTTGATTGATAAAATATTATGATTTTTTGCTTTTTTTACTTCATAATATGTATATTTCTAATCAAATCAAACAGTTATTATATCAAAATGTTCATTTATTTTTCGTTGTTAGTATAGAAATTACTTCTATTTCTCATATGATAATAATTTATTTTATGATATAAGATAAATAACTCTTACAAAGTTTCTGATCTTAGGGAATCTACATTCTATAGGCATTCCAAAAAGCTTAATTTTTGAATTAACAATGCATATCTTTATTTTACTTACAATTTCTTTACAAAATAATATGAAAATTATGAATGATGAACTAAAATGTATGGTATAGTGTAGAGTATCACATTAAATCCTAGATGAAAAATACGAAAAAAGAAGAAAATTTATTTTTAACATTGATTTCTTTATTAAATTTTAGTTTATTATTAACATTAGAATTATTAATATTGTAGGACTACTACAGTTTTGATTTTTATATTAATAAAGAACTATCTTATTTATAATAATTTTGAGTTACTATCTCTAATAATACGAACTAACAAATTTTTAAATAAAAATAATAAATATAAAAAGTTTAATAAATATAATTATTATTAATGAATATAATAAGAATAATAAAAATAATAAGTTTAAATAAAAATAATAAATATAATGATAATTATTAAAATAATAGAAATAAGTTTTATAGTAATTATCTAGTTTATAAAACTTATCAGGTAGATTTAATGAATTTGAGAATCAGAAATTATGATGATTCTCTAATTTCATGATTAATATAAAATTAATTTTAGTAAATCATTTGATAATTCTTTGTAGATCAACTTTCTAATAGTAAATTTTTAGCTGATATTATAAAAATTTTTATAAACTTTTAAAAGCGAACGGTTTAACCAGTTTAAGAAGATTTTGTTAAAAAATCATTTATTATTTGATATATTTATTATATGAATAATTGAAACTTTTTTAAAACTCATTTTTTTTTTATATCTATTTAACATTTTATATCTATTTTTACTTAATTATAAACAAAAAATTACATTATTTTTAGAATAAAAACACACTTTAAGTACAAATATAAAATCTTTTAAAATATTATAAGAAAATAAGTTTGCAATTATTCAACTAATTATTTAGTTATAAAACTATAAAATTTTATTATTTTTTATATTAAAAATTAAAGAAATTTTAACATAATTTAAAAATAACTAAAATTTACTTAAATATTTACCTTTTTTACCTTAATAAAACTTGTTTATTTTGCTAAATATAACATATATTATTAGTTAAATGTTATTTAATAATAAAAATTTTTTTACTAAAAATCAAATTTTTGCATTTTATACAAAAAATATTGAATAATTACCTTTATAACCTAAGAAAATATTTTTTCTTATGTAAAATTATATTTATTTTAATTGTTAAAATCATATTTTCTTTTCAACTTTTAAGAACATCTTAAAAAAAGAAGCTTCTTAAATAAAGATAGGAACTGTAATTAATATGTTACAACTTTTAATATTGCAACTTATGTTGCAATTAGTTTTAACCTATATATGTTGTAACTTATAATGTTACAACATATGTTGCAACAATTTGTAAATTTGAAATCATTGCTACACCATCTTTATTCTTAAAACAAAAATTCTTGTAATTGCAATTTTTTTTAGAAGTGGTGAATTATTAAAATAAATGAATAGATCATATGACATTCTATCAATTACTTAATTTGTATAAGCAGTATATGTTAAAAAGTTTAACGGTTAACTATGAGGCAAATTTTTCAATTACTGTTACACATCCAAATTTAATTATAAAACTGATCTGCATGCAACCAACCCCAATAAATTTATTTAGGAATATCACATGACTTGTGTTTCATACACAATACAAGGAACAAAGAAAATAAACCCCAAAGAACGATAAGAAATTCCTAAAATATGGATTTGTGAAATAAAATAATAAGTGAAAATCAAACACGTTGCTTATTTTAGTGTCTACAAGTTAGAAACTAGCTTTTCCAATGGGCTATGGATGATATGGTTCAGAAAGATTAGATCATATCATAATTAGTTAAAAAAAGGAAAGATGTGTTGCTTAGTGGCTATTTTATTTTATATTTCCTTTTTTCTCTTTTTTTTTTTAAAAAAAAAAATTTTTTTATTTGCCAACGTCAAAATTATTATTCAATGTTTTTTTCCCAAGTAAATTGCGCTTCCGAAGGTTTGCAGGAGAAAGATGATGTAAAAGCAGTCAATCAAATGTGAGTATAAATATAACGAGTGGAAGTTCATAATATAAAATTTGTGAACTAATGGTAATGCCTATTTCTCCAGTATTGATGCCATAACAATACTAAGGAAGTTTGACCAACTTGTCCGAAATTGGACTGACGATTGGAAAGGATGGTTATTATTGGGTAAGTTTTTTTTTATCTTTGGGGATGCCTTATTGAAAATTTTTTTTTTTCCTTTGTATTAATTAATTTATCATTTTTAATTAACTTTAGCGGTGAATTATCACTGGAAGAAACGACACTGTGCCGAAATGAAGAGACAATGCATAGTGATTGGTAAGTGTTTTAATCTGATATTCTTGATATGGCTACTTGAAAGAATATAAATATTAAATCAAAATTTAAAATAGATTACGTATTTATCCTAATGCATGAAAGACTCCATGAGAGATTGGAGTAGAAGAACTACCGGGAGTTGGGAACTACCGGGAGAAAGAAAGTTGGTTCTGGGCATTGGTTGCCAAATGCCAAACATCATCAATACACATCCAACCAGAAAATGCGAAATAGTGGTTGGATGTGTATTTTTATTTTCTTATTTACATATTTATTCTTTAGAATAAAAATATATCAAAGTATTACCCTAAATTACCTTTAGGATTAGTTGGGAAATGACGAGGAAGATTATTCTGAAGGAGTTGGTTTGATACACCAAAAAATGCTAAATAGTTGGTGAATTTTTTTTTTTATTGCATTCTGCACACTCCAATCAGAAAATACGAAATAGTGGTTGGAGGTGTATTTTATCTATCTTATTTACATAAAAATAAAAAAAAATTTCATTGTGATCAATAAAAGCCAATTTGGATATGTTGACGGAATTGTATGTTTCCAATAATGTTCCTGGAAGTTAGTTGAACGAATGTAAAGTTGAACTGAAAAAAAAAACCGGATCTTGGGTACAATAAATAATAATTTTTTTAAATATCTTAAAATTTTAAATAATTCGGATCCATTGTATGTACTTTTTAAATTAAATTAATGAGAAAAGCGTAATTCACAATTTAAAGAATTTAATTCTTAAACCAGATATTTATACGGAAAACTTTGTGTTCAATTTTATTTTTTCTTGCTTGCAAAACGTAAAATGGAAGTAACAAAATTTAAAATTTATGTAAAAATACCACCACTATATATGTATACTATACTATATAACTATTTTATATTTACAGGTTGAAAATAACGTCAATTAGAACCAAAAATTTCTTCGTAGTGATTATTTCCAATTTCTTCGTGTCGGAATTCCAAGAATCATTCAAGTGATCCTTCAAATGTGCTTGACTTTTTGTTGAAGAGCTTTTCATCAAAAGGTTCAGGTTCTTCATCCTTGGATTTTTCATTTTTGGATTCTTCATCATTGGATTCTTCATCCAAGGGTTCTTCGTTAATGGGTTCTTCATTATTGTGTTCTTCATCATTAGATTCATCATTAGATTCATCATTGGATTCATCAATGGATTCATCATTGGATTCATCATTGGTTTCATCATTGGTTTCATCATTGGTTTCATCATTAGATTCATCATTGGGTTCTTCATCCAAGGATACTTCATCTAAGGATACTTCATCCAAGGGTTCTTCATCCAAGGGTTCTTCATCCAAGGACTTTTCATCGACAGATTGTGTCTTTTCATTAGAGGGATTAATTGCTAAAATAAAAAAAGTAAGAAAAAATGGTTAGAATGTTTTAAAATAATGTCAAAATATATCAATATGATGATATTTAATAATTACTTTGCTCTGTTAGATCTTTCTTCTCTCTTTTTATTTTCATTTCTTCAACCTCATTTTGCTCTGGAGGGGATTGTTTTTTTTTATTCTCACGTTTCGTTTTCTTAGCTTTTGGTAATTTCTCCTTTGGATCGGAAGGGTTTACCCTTTTTTTCTTTTCTTTTTGTTCTTTGCTTTGAGAAAACGAACGGAGAGATCGAAGGGTAATTTGGCTTGTAATGGGCATTTTGTATGTAGTGACGAGAAAAATTAATGTGAAAAAAAAAAAAATTTTTTTATTTGATATATATTTGATAATTTTTGTTAAAAAAAAATTTTATTTGAGAAAAACAGAGAAACATTTTTGGGATCGGTATATATAATAAAATCAATTTTGTTTTTTCACACTAAAAATAGTAAATCAACAAACCGGTAATTTTGCCAAAAACAGAAAAAATGGAAGTGTAAATTTTGACGCGTTTTATCTCTACAACAAAGAAAGAGGTTTGACGCGTTTACGCTTTTTTTTTCAAACAAAGAAAATTGGATTTTGACGCGTTTTTACTCGTGTTTTTTAAGAAACATAGAAAATTAGATTTTGACACGTCGCGTTTTTCACCTACACGTTCATTCACCCTTTATATGCAAAATCCAAAAGGTGCAATCTTCCTTAAAGATTTCTGGGTAATATGAAGAAAAAAATTCAGAACTTCAGAATGGATGGTTGGTAACATATCATACTTTGTTGATTTGATAACTTTTTTTGTTTGAATATACGAAATAAACTTACTTGATAATCCAACATGGAAAGAGAGAGCTTAAATATAATATGTTAATTACATATGAAATGAATTTACCTAAGGTTGTCCATTACCATATAAAGGGGTATGTAGACAATGAGCTTTGCCTCGAATATATTACCTTTTCGCTTCCGCATGTATTGAATGTATTGATCCTTTTGTTGTTTGTGTTGTGAAAATTACATCACAATCCATCACTTAATGAAGTTTTCAAAGAAGTATTGCAAAATTTGCACAATGTATTGAATATTATTTTGCTTTTACTTTTGGTATTAAGACAAATTCTTCGTTGTTTATTAATGTTCTTATTTGCTTTTTTATAGGTTTAAAATAACACTTTGGATCAAATGGTTCATAAGCATGGTGTTGATAAAAAATTGGTCTTTGCTGGAAACTCAGTTATGATGAAATGGGTTTCTTTAAGCCTTAGATTACATGATGATGAACGGTTATTTAGATGTGAATTTTAATTTTACAAATTCTTTCGTTTTGAGCTTTTTTTTTTCAAAAAAAATAAAATAAATGATCGCAATTCGATAGATGATTTGATCCTGCGATTGAAGAATTTTCCATTGGAATTCTCAAAATATACAAACTACTCAAATAAAATCATCATATCTTCCATTTTTTTTTAAAAAAAACGCGGTAAAATTAATTAATTAAATATATTTATTTAATTTACAATGGTGTAAAAATGTTTTTATTCATTCTGTTAAATTCTAATGTTACATTTATAATCATACAAATAAAATATATGAAGATAATATAATAACCCCACCCGCGAGTCATACGGAAATCGTTTCTTGGTAAATAAAACAGGGCAGAAAATAATGTCAATAATAATCCGATCGATGAAATAAATAATGTAGGTTCTAATTCTATATGGATAGGCTCTCCATATTGTATTGTTGTATATGTTCCAGCAATACCAATCCCAAGCAGGATATCTTAATAAACAAAGATGATATTAAGTTAATTATTTTCTAACCTCATGATCTTAAAAAGATAATTGATAAACTTACTTAACATGGGACCACCGAAACATGCGCTCATTGCCATCATTGGAAATCCCATTCTGGCAATAGTAATATTGGCAACAAAGTCACCGAGACTATTACCCTTAAAATTTTAAAATGATAAAACAAGTAAGCGTGTGTGTGTATATAATAAAAAGCCGAATTTAAGAATCAAGATAAGATTTAGTACAAACCATTGCAAAAATGGTCAGCCCGAGTATAGCGTCACTTAATCCCATTATCAGCCCTATAGCCTAAGATAAAAGTATATAAGAAAATCAATATTCGAAATATTTTAATTAAAAAGCATTTGGTTAATTCACTCACCTGTAGCAAACCTACAACTTCGTTTGCTACAAGGAAAATCCAAACCATAGCTACACCAAATCCCATAAAACATAGTAATGAATAGAATCTAGGTGGTTTATCATCATGCGCAAATAAAATACATGATGTAGCTGCCACAGAACCTCCGAAAAAAGAATATAAGATAATTGACGAATTGTCTCCAACTGAATGATTAACAAATTGTAATATTTATTAAATAAGATGATGATGATAATAATTTATACATAAAATAATACTTACAAAATAACACAGAAGAGACAAATAAAGGTGAAAATACAAACTGAGCGGCAGTCAGCCATCGATTCCACCTAGTTTCCTTGCAAGCTTTTTCAGGACTTTCAACAATGACTATATCCGGATCGTCATCTATCACAATGGCAGGAGTTTCCAAATGTGGATGTAAGGAACTTTCTTCTTCAATCTCATTAAAATCTACTTCATCCGATTCTACAACAGGTAAGGTGAGTATTAAAACCAAATTTGCCGGTGTCGCCATTAAAGTAATAAGTTTTGCGATAAATGATTTTTGAGAGAATCCTTCCAAAGTCGGGAATAAAATTATTTGAAATTTATCCCAACAAGAAATGACGGGTGGTAATGGTGATGATAAGCTGGGAGAGCGTAAAGGAGAGTGTAATGGAGAATTTCCAGGAGATGAATGTAATGCACCATCAAGTATGAAATTCGAACTCTCCAGCGTTAATGGTAAAGGTATATGGCCAGAACGAGATGATGATCCCTTATCATGTGAATCTGGTCCATGATCTGGGGTTGGAGGTATCAACATTAGACGCGGTATTGTTAAAGTGTCTCCAAATTTTTGTCTCGACGTTGGAGTTTGAGCTTGAGCTTGATCAATTGGTGATGAACTCGATCCACTGCTTGGACCGCTACCATTAAGGCTATTGAAGTTCATTATAGTCGACTCGGGAATTGTCACTATCCCACCTCCATCACTAGCCCAAGATCTTCTACGAGAACCGAAAAGTGGTCTATTCAATGACATTGTCCTGCTTCGTGGTCTGCCTGATCGACTATTGTAAAAATCTGTTGTATAACTCCGACCAAATATACCCAGGGCTCTCGCGCTACTATCTAATTTAAGAGAATTAACTACATCCCTAAACTGTAATGTTATAATAAGGTAAAACATAGTTTAATTTAAATTTTTGACCGCAAACCCATAAGATAATTAATTTGATTTACCTCGATCGCTCCAAACAACGAAGGTCTCATTCCACGATGAATAGGTCGTGCAGGCCTTGCAGAGGATGAAGAATTTTGATGATGATGATGGTGATGATACGTAGATTGATCCAACAAATCATTAGGAGAGAGAAAAAATTCACGTGGTTCGGAATATGTTGTTAAAGGCGTCATCGAAATTGGGGATGCATTACGACCTGTATAATCGAGAATTCTTTCATCTTCGGATAACAAAAAATCGGTTTCACCGTATGCATCGTATCCATATGCATCTTGATTTTCTGATGAATTTTAAATTGTATTAGTAATCAATGCAAAAACAAGAAAGCTAAACCGCGATATTATTGTATATTACCGTATTCTTCGTCAGTTTGCTCGTCAAAATTCTCTGTATCACCATTGATTAACGATGTTGGTGTATATTCATCTCTTGCTTTTTGTTCCTGCCATTTGCGCCTTTTTTGATCCTTTACCCACCAAGTTCCTATAACAACCACACTAACATAGGTTATGTAGAATAACACCAAGGTTATACTTTCCCACAGATGAATTTTTCCATCCGAGATAATGACTAGAACAAAACTAATTGCTACTAGGAAGAAAATAACATCACGAAGAAATGGTGCCTTTGTAACGCGGAATGGCGACACAACAGCCATGGATCCAGCAACAACCGAAGTTATAAAGCTAGCTGCACCGATAAGTTCACCTACAGCTAACGAACCAGATCCAAGGGTGATTGCACTAAATGTACTAAACAAGTCAGGTGATCCGTTTCCAAAAGCTAAGAAAGTAACGCCTGCCTTTAAAGAAGTTTATAGATGTTTATCAACATATTTTAACATTAGTCAAATTAAACGATGTAAATTAAATTATTTACCATACTTTCGGATAGTTTCAATTTTGATGCAATTGTACCTAAATTAGGACAAAAGAATTCAGAAGCGGCAAGACCAATAAAGCCGAACAAGAATAACAACCATAGAAACTGAATAAATAAATAAGAACAAAAAGCTTTAGATAAAAGTTCATTTCGACAAAAAAAAAATCATAAATTAAAGTATACCATTGTCATTAAATACACGTGATGCCATTTTGGTGAATTACAAAAGTAGAATTGTAAATAATCGATTAAACCAGAAGAATAATCTCGACAATGTATTCGAACAAAATCGCATTTATCTGGATGACTATATATATTATCACACTAGTAAAATGCAAAAGAGCCTCAAATTAATTTCATTATTTATTTCATGATAAATCATAAGGTTCAAAGTCCTTTTTAGATCAAATTGATCCAATTACAAATGTTGAAGATTACCATTCAAAAGAATAAAATTAACCAATTTGAATAAAACAAATTGAGTAGAAAAAATTGGTTTTCCCGTGAATAATGTTATCAAGTATGTCCTTTACCTACCTCATTATTGAAACTTGTTCTAATGTCACTACTTTTAATAAAACTGGCATTCGCCTCATTAGGAAATATGGCAGTTATTGGTTCCAGTTCGTTCCTTTTCCAAGTTGAAAAATCCACCGCATTTTGAACGCTACTTACGCTACTTTCGATACTGAACCCAGAATTCAAGCCGTTACTCTTTTCAGTTATTCGTTTTTTCCATAATAAACCGATACCATTAAAGAAAAGCAATAAACATAATGATACAAAAAATGTCTTGCGACTTTGAATTACAGTCATAACTTGATATTCGAAAATTTTTTTAATTCAAACCATCTAAAATAATAATTTACTGTTTATATAACTGATGACCCGCGCCACTGATTACTCATAATTTAATTAAATCCTTATCCTAATTTAGGTTTTAGACAATTCTCGCATAACTTTAATGTGTGACAGGTTACGCCGGATATATAATACTTTAAATAACATTTTTGGACATGATCGACAAATGATCGTCACATGCGCCATAGACAACTTTTTACAAAATTTTTTCCTAAAACCAAACCTTAATAAACTTATAGTTAGACTTAAAAATAATATATGTAAATGTATTTTTGCTCGTTCTGCAGTATAATTTGACTTAAACGCTTTTTTTGAAAAAATACGCCACATACTTTAAGCCATATAATCGGTGTAACCTG